GTAAACCTGCCAAGAAAACACTCCTACACACAAAATGAAAATAGATAATACATTTTTTCTAATCAGTTATGCATTTATTGATTGAGAACTGAGTGTGCCAGGTATGCATGTAGAGATCAGAGAACAACCCTGCGGAGCCAGTCCTCTCCCTCTACTTTACGATGGGGTCTAGGAACCCAACAAAGGTTATCAGGCTTATGCAAGAAGTGGGTGAAGTTTTACCAAGTCTGACTGTCAGCCTTCTTTTTTCTTTTTCTTCTTTTTGAGGCAGGGTCTTACGCAGTTTTGCTGGCCTTCAACTCCTGATCCTCCTGCTTCCACCTCCCACGGGCAGAATTACCAGCGAGCACCACCACACTCAGCTCTCCGTGTCTTTTATTTATTTATTTATTTATTTATTTATTTATTTATTTATTTTTTAAATAAAAATAAGTCAGATCACAGAGGTGGATGAAGGATTTGGAGCCATGAAGAAGGAGTCCAGAGAAAGATCATGGGACACACCTGAAGCCCAAAGAGCCAGATTGATAATAATATGCAAATATCATTGGGTCAGGGCTGGGAGACAGCCAGATTAGCATAGAAAGTAAAGGTAGACCATTTAACTGCTCAGCTATTGAGGTGCTGTTTTAAATAAATCTTGGTTACTCTGTGCGATTATTAGGGACTAACATAAGGTAAAGAAATACAGCCTCCAGGTTAATTCACTGTTTACATGTATATTAAGATATTTCGCTTCCAGTGAGGCAGCAAAGACAACATAGTGTTGAAAGCACTTACTGCCCTGGCAAAGGACCCAAGTTCAGTTCCTAGAACTCTCACCAGGCAGCTCGCAACCTCCTGTAATGTCAGATCCAGGGGATCTAACACACACACACACACACACACACACACACCTCTGAGGGCACCTACATGCATGTGGCACACACACACACACACAAAAATCTGCCAGTCGGTGGTGGCGCATGACTTTAATCCCAGCACTTCGGAGGCAGAGGCAGGTGGATTTCTGAGTTCGAGGCCAGCCTGCTCTACACAGTGAGTTCCAGGACAGCCAGGACTATACAGAGAAACCCTGTCTCGAAAAACCTAAAAAAAAAAAAAAAAAAAGACTATATACTCACAGCTTAATGCCACTCCACAACTGAGGCACTTTTATTAGTCCCTGCGAGTTCTCAGGGTAGAGGAGAGTGCACAGCACTGTTTCCCATACAGAAACCTTCGTGATCACCTGACCAATGTTAGCTGGGTCCCTACTAGGTGCCAGGCCCTCGGGCAAATATTGGGAATAAAGTCACTAAACAGGATGAGTAGACTCCCATGCCTTCCAAGGCCTTACAGTTCATTCTGTGATAAGTCACAATGTCAAGGCACAAGGGCCTAACAGAGCTTCAGAGGTCAGCTGTGTCACAACTCTCACAGTTTAAATGTGAAATGTCACCCGCAGCCCTTGACTAGTGGCACTCCTTTTGGAGACTGTGAAGCCATTGGGAGGCTAAATCTAGCTGAAGAAGTGGCTCACCGGGGCAGCCCTTGAGGTTTGTAGCATCTCCCTGCTTCCAGGCCCTCTAATCTCTGTTCTCTTCTCTGACAAGCCATGGGTAGGTAAAGAGTCCCAGCTGCACACTCCCACCACCATGGTGCTGCCTGCACATGTGCCTTCTCTACCATGGTGGGCCATGTCCTATGAAACCATAAGTCAAAATGAATCCTTGTCATAGAAAAGAGAAAAAATGATTAATACAACAACTGAATGAAGGAAAGCCTCAAGTTCCCATCTTCTACCTCTTCTGCTAATCAACAGGTATGGCTCCACATACCAAACCAGCAACTCTGTCTGAAGTGTTTCATTTAAACGCCTCAGCTCCTTGGAGTTTGTGTTATTATTGTTAGCCCCACTTTTATAGATGAGGAAACTCAGGTCTATAAGGGTTAAATAAGCGGTGGAGTTGAGATTTAATCCCAGGCTCACTTGAGACCAGATGTCTCATGAACAAAGTGTCTGTGCTTCTTCTTCTTCATCTGTGGTCCAACTAGCACATGTTCTTCTGTGTAGACTCTTTGCCTAAATGGACCGGCCATTGCCTTATCTGTGCATAGGTAGTATTTCAAACGCACTCTCATAGTCCCTAGAGCACTTCAGATTCTTACCTGGCAGTCTTTCTCTAGGAATCTGTAAATGTTGTGGAATGACAACTGATTGACTTGTGTAATCTCAATAATCTGTGCTGTACATTCCATTACTGAAGGAAGAGAAGGAATGGGGAGAAAAGGAAGAAGGGGGAAAGAATGAGCTAGAAGAGGAAAGAGAGAAAACGAAAGGTGAAGGTAATTATGTGTTCACGGGTTCTGTGTAAAACATCCCAAGTCCATCTGCTCCTCTGTGAAAATTTTAATCTTACTCAACACTGTAAAATGCATCCTTGCAACAATCTGGATAATATTCTATTTAAGGACCACTCAGTGAGCACTCACAAAACTCCTCTGGATGCTTCTTGCCTGTGGTGATTTAAATGAGAATGGTCCTTAAAAGTTCATATATTTGGATACTTGGTCCCCAGTGGATGAAATTGTCCAGGAAGGGTTAGGAAGTGTGGCTTTGTTAGAGAAGGGTGTGCCACTGGAGGTGGGCTTTTGGTTTCAAAAGCTCATGCCTTTCACTGTGTTTCTCTCCACCTCCTGCCTGCAGGTAAGTATGTAAACTCCCTGCTACTGCTCCAGTGTCTGCCTGCCTGCTACCATGCATAGGCTTACCCACTGAAATTCCAAGCCCCAGCCATCTCTTCCTTCTATAAGTTGCCTAAGTCATGGTGTCTTTTCACAGCAATCAAAAATAACTAAGACATCACCCATCTTGGGCCCCTCTCTCTTTTGCCTATGCGCTCTCTCATCACTTTCCAATCTAGTCTATGCCCCTGCTTCCAACAACATTTTCCTCCCTAGAGGGCATGGAGAAAAGATGAGTCAGAAGCAAAAGTGAAACTTGGAAGAAGCAAAACTGAAGTGACGCCTTAAGCTGCAAGTTAAACAGCAGAAAGCCTCCAGGAAATAGAAAAACAGAAAGTGCCTGGGAACACGCAGCCTTGACCTTAAAAACTGTCCATGGACCTATTGGCGCCTTTTTTTCTGTTTTAGGTTTTCTAGATAAGCATCAAAGCACTGTAGCAAAGAGCTTTAAGGTTCCGGATTCTCAGCTGTATTTGACACAATGTGACTCTTTTGAGCCACATTAGTTCCTGCCCAATGACCACCTTCATCAGACATCTAAACCAGAGGCCTGTTAGGGAGGATTTGCTGCAAGAACACCAGGAGGATTGGATGGCAATGGGCAACAGTCAACTAGCTCTACAGACAAAGCAAAAGCAAAGCCTGAGGGATGGCTTTCCTGGGATTCTGGGGTAGAGAGCATTAGCCCAAAGCAGCGGTTAGCAGGGCCCGTCGGCAGCCCCTTCTCCACTCAACCCTTGCTAAGCATCGCTTTTCCTACCTTATAGTTCTCCCTCCCCGAGTGAAACGAGTACTGACCAGATTCCTGGGAACACACTGGTGAGGCCGGCCTACCAGTCATCTGATATCCTTTGTCTAGGAGCTGAGCTGATATGACTGCTAAGCACTTAGCTTTGTTAAGGGGAGGTTGAGGTAAAACGCTGTGTAAATACGTTGGGGAAGAGGTGCGAACAATGTGTTAATCCATCTTACCACTTCCTGTTACACTACCCTCCGTGTTTTCTGTTGAGGAGCCCTGCACTCTGGCCATCTGACCCATAGACCAGTCCAGGCCCAGAGAATCACTGGAGATAGGGCTACCCAGATCTACTGTGGGGAGCACAGCGGCAGCCACACAGGGGTGAAGATAGAGCTCCTATCCCAGCTTTCTGTTTATCGGCTGCCTTGGAGTGAGAGGCTTCCCCTGCCTGCTACACGATCGTGCCACCACGATATCCTGCCACCACGATATCCTGCGTTGTCACAGGTCTGACGCTTGGAGCCGAGTGGCTGTGAAATGGAACCTCTGACCAGCTTTGAGGCTCAGCAGAGAAAGGAAATCCACTAAGGATGTTGTCAAAACGATGGTGACATCAAATAGGGGTTCCTCTACTTCCTTCGGTTCCCCGCTGAACCGTGAGAGCAGTAGCGGTATTTGGGGCTTAGCACCCGGAGCTGCTGTTTCTTGCAGAAACCAGGTGCCAAGTTCCCACAGCTCAACCTTCAACTAGGCTTTTTTTTTTTTTTTCCACAGAAGAAGTGAATATACTTGGCATGGTGGCTGGGTCCTCTCCGTAATTAATGGAATCATACAGAGGAGGGAAAGAACGTTTAAGGAATTCTTGTCTTCGCCTAACACTCTCGCTTCTCTGTGATTCTCTCTGCCTCCCATGGTCTCTTCTCTTCCCAGAGCATCCTTCTCCTCCTGTGTGGGTTTCTCTTAACGAACAACCAAACGAACAAAAAAGGGGGAATTTAGCTATCAAATGTACACTAAGAAGTTGGTAACTTCCTATATATCCCCGATTTTTAAAAAATGAAAGAAAATGTAGATTGAGATAGTATTGAAAAGAGATATTAGTAGATTGAAAAGTTTAAATTAGTGTTTAATATATGAGGTCAGACACTTGCCTGCATGCAGATGGCTCTGGGCCAGGCAGGACAGTGATACATTCTGAGATAGAACCAAGGGACCCCTAGGACATGACCCTTGTGGTGAAAGCCATTAACAGGTTAATGTTGCCCCATTCTTGACCCTGGGAGCCTTGAGTCTACCAAGAGTATCCTCTGACGGACTTTCTGTGTGGCCCCTGGGTGCTCAGCTCTGATCTACATAAAACAAGTGGTTCTACTCCCCTTGATATGCAATCCTGGGGCTCTCTCCCCTGTTCCTGCCCCGCCACAAGGCTCACCCATCAGAGTCCACAGTCAGGAATCAGATGGTATTTCTGGAAAAGGAAACTGGTGAGATAGACTGGGGGGTTGGGGAAAAAGCTATTCACTTCCTCTCTTCTAGTCAAATAGGGTCCTTGAGGGTTCCGGATCTCTGTGGTGACATTTTCTGTCTGCTGCAGCAGCATGTGGCAGCTAATACTGCCAACAGCTCTGGTACTTACAGGTAAGTAGGCCTCAGTCTAGATGCAGATAAAACCTTATGATGACCTGTGTTCAGGTCAGGCATAGAACCCCACTACGGGCCTGGATTTAACTCCTAAGACAGACTGTTAGAGATAAGCAACATCCTGGCTCTGATTTGTGCCTCATTAGGAGGGGACTGTGAGTTAGCTGGTCTGGGTCTCCATTTCCTTAACTGTAAATTGAAGAGCAAGAAGTAGGTGGTCCTAAGGTTTATGCCTTCCGACATACTAGCATCTCTTTCCAGGCTGGGTTTAGGTTAAGGTGGTTTCTGTGGCTTGATTTCGGGAAATGCAATCGTTACTTTTAACCTGACAGCTTTAATAGAGATCAAGGAGAAAGGAAACAATGCCAAAAACTGAGTTTCCACGCAGCACAGGTCCAGGCCTTAGAGAAGGAACCAGCAGGAGGAAAGGTGGGAATTTCTGCTTAGCGTCTGATTCTTGTCTTTCTTTTTCTTGCAGCTTTCTCTGGCGTCCGAGCTGGTGAGTTTGCCTCTGAGTCTTAGCTTGATGGACACGAAGGCCACAGGAAGTTGGGAAAGGACTATTGCATGGTGTCTGGTGTGAGGAGGGGTTCTGGGGACTAGGAACAATACCCTAACACAGTGGGGATCGGCTCTACCTCTGGCCAAGTTTTTTCCAGCTACAGAAAAGGTCAAAATTGGGGCCAAGTACTTCCCTGCCTAGATACCCTAAGAACGAGTCATAGATGGACTGAGAGCGCTGTGGGTTTGTTCGCTCTGCCTGTATTACCCTGAGAGTGCCAGGGTAGGGCCCACTTCTGTGTCCTCACTCTAAATTCCCTTGACTCCTCATCAGGTCTCCAAAAGGCTGTGGTGATCCTAGACCCTGAATGGGTCAGGGTGCTTGAGGAAGACAATGTTACCCTTAGGTGCCAGGGCACCTTCTCCCCCGAGGACAATTCTACCAAGTGGTTCCATAACCAAAGCCTCATCTCACATCAGGATGCTAACTATTTCATCAAGAGTGCCAGGGTTAACAACAGTGGGACATACAGGTGCAAGACAGCCCTCTCCACGCTCAGTGACCCTGTGCAACTGGACGTCCATATAGGTGAGTTGAAGGGAAAGAGGGGCCTGAATTACTTGGGAAAAGCCAGTATGGTTTGGGTTAATAGTTGTAGGGTGATATGCGGTCCATCGGATGTGGGTAGAATTGTAGTTCTAACTGCAAGTACGCAGAGCGTCGGAACTCCTGCAGTGCACAGAGATGCTGGCATTTAATGATTCCAGGAACTGGCATTTTTACAGAGCACATACAACATAGATGCACACTGTGAGGCCAGCTACATACTCCGTAGCATTCACTCATTATACAATGTTCTTAGCATCTCAGTTTCCCTCTCATATTATCCCTCAGATATTACACTCGAGCTCATCTAAAAGGCTAAACAGCGGTCCTCCTCTGCTGGGGTAATCTTCTTGCGCTCTGTGTGCAGTTGTCTTTGTATTATTCAAATGTTGACTTCTGTACCCGCTGAGAGCTGAGTACTGCCCGGATTTTGATACCGTTATTGTTATGGCTTGGCACCTGCCTCAGTATTTTGCAAACTTACACCTCCCTCACCTTTGATTGGCTTAATAAAGAGCCGACGTATGATAGCTAAGCAGGAGAGGAAAGGAAGGACTTCCGGGAAAAGATGGGATCCGTGGGAAGATTCAGGGCACAGGAGATTCGCCAGCCTGACACTGGGGTAGAAGGGACTGAGTGAGAAGTAGCTGGTCACGTGACAGGACGTAGGCCGGGGTAGTCGGGGTTAATTTGTATGAGCTAGCTGAGAACCAGCCAAGCTATATTGCTTAGGCTTTCATAAGTATTAATAAATCTCTGCGTCCTTATTTGGGAGCTGGCAGATCCAAGACAGTCCAGCGAGTTTCAGATCTTTAATAACCTATCAACGCATCACTCACTGTCTGGACGGTCTTCCCGTCGATGCCTTGCTGGAACTTACATTAACATGCACTTGACCCCTTCCAGTGGAGTCACAGCTAGCATGAGGGGCGGCGGAAAAGATAAATACACATGGACACACAGAAAATCTTGGATCAGAGAGTCCAGTTCATTGGCAAAGCCACAGGCCCCAGGAAGCTAAGCATGTTTACTAGATACAGTTGAACAGAGAGTGGAACTACTGTATGCAGCCGAACAAGTAATTGGGGTCATTACATACAACTCATGGAGATATGTATGTATGTTTGTATGTATGTATGTATGTATATAAACATGGAGATATGTATGTCTGTATATAAACATGGAGACATGTATGTATGTATGTATGCATGCATGTATGTATATTGTTATATAGAGATTACCAAAGCAGCTTTAACTAATCTCCATAGGAGCAGTCTCTGTAGGGGACAGTCTTCAGGCCATAAACATCCAGGTGTGGAGATACAGTGGACGTTTTCGCACATACTATCAACATACATACATCCACTCTTGGGCCATCCCTCTAAGCCTCACTCCCAAGACGGCCGTGCCATTTTCCACAGGTTTGAGTCCTTGACATGTGGAGAGGGACGGACACAGTCACCCTTCATATCAAAGATTCTCAACCTTCTTGATGGAGCAACCCTTTAACACAGTTTCTCATGTTGTGGTGACCCTCAACCATAAAACTAGGTCATTGCTACTTCATAACTGTGACTTTGCTAATGTCATGAGCTGTAATGATTCATACATGGAGCTGATATGCAGGATATCCGATATCTTCCCAAATAGGCACTCGACCCACACACAGGTTGAGAATCACGTTTATCATAGGATGGACATGTGTGTGTCAATTATCAGCATCCTAGTATGACAGCAGGTAAGAGAACTACTTTTTCAGGCATAGATCTTTCCTAGCATCCTTGGAATCACATCACATACTGTCAGCCTGACTCTATTTACACAACTGACCCCCATTTGTACAGTGTGAGTGGGTGGGACAGGGATGACATCGGGGTCCCAGTGAACTGGGGTTATCGAGTGGTTCTTGTGTCTCCTTTGCCTCTAATTCTCTCCCTTGACGACAAAGATCTCACTGTGCAGAGCTACAGTCTCAGTTATCCTGGTGGATGAACAATAGCCATCTAAGAGTGAACAAAGTGAGGGATTACTAAAAGAAAGCAATAGAAAAATCAAGTCTTAGGGCTGGAGAGGGGCTCTGTGGATAGCGTTGCTTACTTCTATGCCTTGATAAACCTGGGCTCAGTCCCCCGAACTCAGAAGGAAGGAACACACACCTGTAAGTTGTCCTTTCATCTCTACAAACATGACGTGGCACGAGAGTACATGCACACCCACGTGTACACTCTTCTTTTTAAGATTTTTATTTATTCTATGTATGTGAGTGCACTGTAGCTGTCTTCAAACACACCAGAAGAGAACATGCTATTCCCTTACAGATGGTTGTGAGCCACCATGTGGTTGCTGGGAATTGAACTCAGGACCTCTTAACCACTGAGCTATCTCTCCAGCCCAACATATGTATGTTTCTTAAAAAAATGAAAGAAAGAAAGAAAGAAAGAAAGAAAGAAAGAAAGAAAGAAAGAAAGAAAGAAAGGAAGGAAGGAAGGAAGGAAGGAAGGAAGGAAGAAAAGGAAGAAAAGGAAGAAAAGAAAAAAGAAAAGAAATCAAGAGACAGGCATGGTGGCTTGTGCCTTTAAACCTAGCACTGATGAGGCAGTGACAGACGGATCTCTGTGAGTTTGAGGCTAGCCTGGTCTACACAGTAAATTCCAGAACAGCCAGAGCTACATAGTGAGACCCTGTCTCAAAACAAAACAAAACAAAATAAAAAAAGTTAAAAAGAAAACAAACTCAGTTCTGAGGGTTATTAGTTTGGCTTGACTTTGCTCTAGAATTGGATGTTGGATGTCGAGTTAACAAGGGCTGAGGCCATGAGCATTAGATTAGTCAAGAAAGTCCCAGTTTCCTCTAGGGCCGGATTCACCTTTGCTTATGCTCTGTATTTTCTTTGGATAAAATTTTTTTTAATATTCTAATCTCATTGGCTCCATAGTCCCTCTCTCTTAGCTCATTGTAGAACTTAAAACACTGCAACATAATCTTCAGAGTATATTTCTGTGTTCTAGACTATAGGTTCTGTAAGGTTAGAGATCATACACAGTAGAAATCTGAATATCCCCAGTGTATAATGTCTGTCATGTGTTTGTTGAATGAATATATGTCTGTATATTAGTTATGTTTGCAGCAAGACAGACAAAACAAAGAATATTCTCCAAGCCCTTGCTGTGGAGCACACCTGTGTCTCAGCTCTTGGGAGGCAGAGAAGGATGTTCAAGGGGCATAAGACCATCCTTGGCTGTACGAAGCAAGTTCAAGACAACCTTGACATTATGAGACCATGGCTTAAGAAACAAATAAATTGTACTATTTTAATAAAAGAATACCAGTCCCAAAACTGTGCTATATCCATATCAATTACAATCTTATGTTAATCACAATATACTCCTTAGCTGAAAAAGCAAGTGGCCAAATGGACATGTGGTATTTTTGATAACCAATATAGCTTGTTTATTTAGAGTGTATGTTGGGGCATTTCTTTCTATCTTTTTTAGTAAGATAGAAAGAATGTAGCTGAGAGTTGCCTGGAACTCACTCTGTAGTCCAAGCTAACCTTAAACTCCTGATTTCCTGGCCTCAGCTTCTTGTATACTGTCTTGGCTTATAAATAATCTAATTCATTAAATAACAGAAATCGCCCTCAGTTTGGCAACTCTTCCTGGTAAAGAATCTCCACCAAAATGGTCCACCAATTTTGTTCAGCTCTGGGCACTAAAATTTTATTTTTTTTGTTGTTTTTGGGGGGTTTTGCTGTTGTTGTTGTTGTTGTTTTGAGACAGGGTTTCTCTGTGTAGCCCTGGCTGTCCTGGAACTCACTTAGTAGACCAGGCTGGCCTCAAACTCAGAAATCCACCTGTCTCTGCCTCCCAAGTGCTGGGATTAAAGGCGTGCGCCACCACCGCCTGCTAAACTTACTGTGTTTTGTTTATTTTTTGAGACAGGGTTTCTCTGTCTAGTTCTGGCTGTCCTTGAACTTGCTCTGTAGATTCAGAGACCTGCCTGCCTCTTGCTGGGATTAAAGGTATGAGCCACCACCACCCAGCTAAAATTTAAAACCCACAAACAGTATATTATTTTTCTGTTCTTACTATGAATGTTACTTGAGTTATAGTTCAAAAATTAATAAGAAAAGAACATTTTAATAACTTTCACTTTCAGTCCCCCAGGGAAAACTCCCTTTAATCTACACACACACACACACACACACACACACACACCTTCCCTTTTTTCTGTGCACTTAACATGATCCCATTAATACTGTCACCTGCTGTCAATGTTTATCTGACATGTATTTCCCCAGGCTCCGTCCCACCTTGACTTCACAGTCCCCCTGTGTTAAGTCTGCTGACCTGAGATCATTGTGAGAATGGTATCCTGGCCACCATTTCTCTCTTGAAAGCCTTGCTTAGTCATGGTCTAACTGAGGCCCTGCGGCCTTTCAGAACTAGAGATGACTTGACAGCTGGTATTCACCCGCCCTTCTCTCCCCCCACTTCCCAATTCCTCCACTTCCTTCCTTCTGACTTTCATACTGAGGCCTCCTACACCTTTGTTGCAACCACTCCTATGAATGCTTGGTCTCCTTAGCCTGACCACTGCAGGGACTCTCAATATTCCTGTGTCTCTGGAAATCTACTTGATTTTTAAATGTAGAAAGCCTTTTTTGGTTTTGGTTTTGGTTTATTTTTTCAAAGACAGGGTTTCTCTGTGTAGCTCTAACTGTCCTGGAATTCACTCTGTAGACCATGCTGACCTCAAACCCACAGAACTGGCTGCTTTTGCCTCCCAAGTAATGGGATTAAAGGCATGCACTACACTGCCTGACTTAGAAACCCATTTTTAAATGTAATTGGTTTGGAAATACTCTGAGTCCTTCTTACCTGACAAATGTAAGCCCAGCACATAGGGATTCTGCAGATATTCTCAACTTTGCTTTTTACCTCTCTCATTCATAGATCTTCATTCTCTCTCTCTCTCTCTCTCTCTCTCTCTCTCTCTCTCTCTTTGTATGTGTGTGTCTCTGTCTCTTGTTTCTCTCTGTCTCTCTATGTATGTCTGTCTCTGTTTTTCTCTCTGTCTCTGTCTCTGTGTCTCTCTCACTTTCTCTCTGTGTGTGTGTGTGTGTGTGTATGTGTGTGTGTGTGTGTAAGTGTGTATGCGTTCCTCTTCTTCTTTAGACCAAAGGTCATGGTGTGATCTGAGTTGCTGTGCAGGAAAATCTCAGTCTGGATTTCCATTGCATCTAGGATGGAGTGATAACCTTGCCCTGCAGAAGAGATCCACATTCAGAATTCACCCTCCCAACTAAGACCTCTCTGTCTTCTAGGCTGGCTATTGCTTCAGACCACTAAGTGGCTGTTCCAGGAGGGGGACTCCATTCAGCTGAGATGCCATAGCTGGAAAAACAAACCTGTAAATAAGGTCACCTATTTACACAACGGCAAAGGCAAGAAGTATTTCCATAAGAATTCTGAATACTGCATTCCAAAAGCTACATACAACGACAGTGGCTCCTACTTCTGCAGAGGGCTCATTGGTCAGAAGAACATATCTTCAGCATCCATTCACATAAGCATAGGAGGTGAGAGTTCTTCAGACCCTTTACAACATGCTGGGGTTTTATGTTATTGTTATCATCATCATCATCATTACATTTATTTATTGTGTGCATGTGTTTATGCGTCCATGTGCATGTGCCACAGTGAGCTCTTGGAGGTCAGAAGACTTTTAGAAGTCAGTCCTCTCTTTCCAGCGTATGATGAGTCCTGGGGATTGCACTAACTAAGGTGGTTAGGATTGGCAGCAAGAGCCTTTGCTGGTCTTTTTCTTTTCTTTTCTTTTTTCTTTTTTTTTTTTGTTTTGTTTTTTGTTTTTTGTTTTTTCAAGACAGGGTTTTTCTGTGTAGCCCTGGCTGTCCTGGAACTCACTCTGTAGACCAGGCTGGCCTCGAACTCAGAAATCCGCCTGCCTCTGCCTCCCAAGTGCCGGGATTAAAGGCGTGCACCACCACCACCTGGCTCTTTTTCAATTCTTTAAAATCTTAATCTGGCACAGATGTGGACCCTCAGAGGCTGTCTTCGTTACCTTTATATTGCTATGAAAAGACACCTGAACTAAAGCAACTTATAAAAGAAAGCATTTAATTGGAGGTTTACCTGTAGTTTCAGAGAGTGAGTCCATGACCATCATGGTGGGGGAGCATGGCAGCAGGCAGGCTTAGCACTAGAGCTGTAGCTGAGAATGTATCTCTTCTCCACAAGCTATGTTTCATGTAGCAGACAGAGAGAATGAGAGACTGGGCCTAGTTTGGGCTTTTGAAGCCCATTCGAGTGATGTACCTCCTCCAACAAGACCACACCCACGAACCCTTCCAAAACAGTTCCACCAACTAGGGAAGAACAACTAAGCTCATTCAAATATATGAACCTTAGGGGCCATTCTCATTCAAGCCACCACAGAAACTTAGGAGAAAAGACCAGTTGATGAAGCAAACAAGTCAAATGCAAGCAATTAGAGAATCTAAGTAAAAGACATACGGGAGTTCTTTATGGCATTTGGGTACATTTATTGATAGTTTAATACTATATCAAAATTAAAAGTTAGGGGGCTGGAGAGATGACTCAGCTATTAAGAGCACTAGCTGCTCTTGCAGAGGACCTGAGTTCAATTCCAAGCACCTATGTGGTGACTCACGACCATGTGTAACTCCAGTTCCATGGAATCGGATGCCTCTTCTCACCTTCCAGGGAAGTACATGCATACATGCATACGCCCAGGCATAGACAAAATAAATAGACAGATAGGTACATACATACACACACACACACACACACACATACAAACATACATACATACTTTTAAGGTAAAAATTAAAACTGGGCTAGGCTTGGTAACACATGCCTTTAATCCCAGCACTCTGAGGCAGAGACAGGAGGATCTCTGTGAGCTGAAGGCCTGACAGATCTATATAAATGAGTTTCAGACCAGCCAGGGACACATAGTAAGACCCTGTCTCAAACAAACAAACACATGTGGCTAGCGCTGGGAAATTAGCTCAGTAGATCTTTGCTTTCCTCACAAGCCTGAGGACTTGAGCCAGAGCCTCAGAACCACGTAACATGCCAGGCTTCGTGGCACATTAGTAATCTCAGTACTGGGAAGGTACAAGGGGTCCTGGAGCACTCCCATTTAACCTAAGTGGTGAACTCCAGGCCAATGAAAGACCATGTCTGCATTAGTTTGCTTTCTGTTGTAATTAATGCCATGACCAAAAACAACTTAGGGGAGCAAAGTTCCCCTAAGTTTTGGCTTATATTTCTAGGTCATATCATCACTGAGAAAAGTCAGCACAGAAACTCAAACAGGAACTGAAGCAGAAACTATGGAAGGACATTGTTCACTGTCGTGCTGTCTGGCTGATGCTCAGCTAGCTCTCTTATGTAGCTTAGCTACTTAGGAATAGTGTTGCCCGCAGTGGGCTGGCCTTTCCACAACAAGCATAGACCCACTTTTCCCAGTTTCTCATAGACCCACTGACTTAGGCAATGACTCAACTGAGGTTCCCTCTTCCCTGGTGACCCTAGGTTGTGTTATATTGACAGTAAAATCTAACCAAAACATTGTCTAGAGGAAGAGAATGGCTTTTCTGAGGATGACACCCAATGTCCTCTGATCTCCATATGCAAGCATGCACAAACACACATACACACTCACTTATACCCATACATAGACACACAGATGCACACATATATACACATATGTGTGTGAGCACAAAAGCACACCCACACACCCACACACCACATGAGGTGGTGGATTTCTGAGTTTAAAGACAGTCTGGTTTACATAGTAAGTTCCAGATCAGCCGAGGCTACATAATGAAACCCTGTTTTGAGAGAGAGAGAGAGAGAGAGAGAGAGAGAGAGAGAGAGAGAGAGAG